GCAAGTGACCAATAAGTGTACATTGTTCTTATTTATCCACATCCCAAATACATCATCACTATTCGTCCATATATTTGTTCCTTTGTAATCAGACCAAGAAACTGTCAGAGAAGAAAATTGATTTCCACAGATAGAAGGCATTTGAATAACCTCTACTTCGTTGGGTAAAATGCTTTGCTCATGTTTATTTGCAAGGCCATCATCCTAGCTGCATGAGTAGCCATCAGAGAGGCATCTTCAAATAAAAGTTTTCAAGGGCAGATGGAGATAATACCCCCTTGTAGAACTGAGCTGATAAAAAGCAGACTACATGGAGAGGGAGGGATTTAATGATGAGATATTCTCAATAGAGTCACCTGTATTTTATGCTGTTTCAAAGATGAATCCAGATAGCTCACAAGAGACCTCCTGGCCACTGGCATTAAATAAATGAGGAAGGACCAGTTGTCCTGGGAAGTGCATACATGGGCATGGATGTGCACATATGCATGCAAGTGTGTAAAGCTTCTGTTAGTAGCACACATGGTCTGAGCTGAGAAACAGACCACAGAAGAGCAGAGCAGACACACCATTTCGTTACTTCTCGTCCTTCTGTGTTGTCCAGCCAATACTGTTCAGGTCTGAGAAAAAGCAAGATTTATATCTTCTGTTTCGTAAGCTAGCTCCTAGGGGTGCTTTGAGTAAAAAGCAGCCACCATTACCTGACCAGGTGCTACTTATCAGGTGCCGTACTGAACACTATATTCATTATCCCCTTGAAGTCCCTCATTTTATGGCATTTCTCTGCCTTGGACTTCTAATGAAACAGAGGTCCAGAGAGGTGAGGGGTCTTATTTAAGCTCTCAAAGCTCCTAAGTGGCAGAGTTGCAGTTCAAATACTTTTAGTATGAATCTGAAAGCTGTGCTCTGTACCCATAATTGCTGCCACCCCTCAGCCCCCCTAAAATCCCGCACGTGGACAGTAGAACTCTGCTTCCAGCTTCCTTCTGACTGTGACCTGAATCCATATCAGCCCCAGAGTGTGGTGGTCGGGAGTGGGAGGAGCTTTCTGGCCAGGGTTGTGGTGTACCTGCTAGGGTGAGGCAGTGCCTGGAAGTGACCCTGGTCATGTGCATAGCGGGGAGGGGCAACTCTTGCCAGAGGGAATAGCAGGAGGCAAAAACGTGGAGGGCACCTGCCTCTTCTGGTGATTCTTTAGCTTCACTTCTCTCTGCCTCAATGCCCAGAAGTGGGGTTCAGGGTCTGGTCCCTGCCATCTAACTAACTCCTTGTTCATTCTGAGACTGCAAAGAGCAGTTGTTCTCAAAACTTGTACAGAATTTAGTTTATTAATTAGTCATACCTGATTTGTGTATTTGGGTTTTTCTTAATTTCTTCTCTTTCTTTTCTTTTTTTTAAACGAGGTTTTTTTTTTTTTTTTTTTTTTAATTTATGCCATATAAGAACTGAGGTATAGGCCAGAGTGCGGGGGTTTGGGGAGGGCCGTGGGAGGATTCACCAGAGACAGAGTGGGGAACAGAACAGGCAGACTGATGAAATACACTGCTGAGGGGAGCAGCAGATGAGCCAGGAGAGGTCTGCTGCACCATGTGGGTTGCTCCCCGGCCGGGGATCAAACTCGTGCTGCAGAGGCTGCAGACAGCTTCACAATGCTGTGCTTAACCCCTTGTGCCACCAGGGAGGACCTCTTTTTTTTATTTTAACTCTAGGTAATGGATTGAGAGAGGTAAAGTCTCTATTTTTTTTCTTGGCTTTTATGCTTCATTCTATTTTTAGAAAGTGCCCCTCTCTGACCTGTTTAGTGCTTTTTGCACTGAATTAAGCTCTGGGATGAGACTCAGAGCATCTCTGGGTATGTGCTTGCCTATATACCTTTGTGCAGTCTTTCATTTTCAACTTTGAGTTTCATTGTCTTAAATATGTCTCTTGTGTATCCAGGAAGTTGGGTTTTGTTTCATGAGCTCAGTATAAGAATATGTTCTTTTAATAGGTGTTTAGATACTTTGGGTTTATTGTGGAAGCAAGTCAGATGGATGTTACTTATGTCATCGTAGCTAACATTATACCTTTTGTTTGTTTTTAATAATCTTATATATATATGACACGTATGTCCTTGTACATATATAAGTGTGCCTCTTGACTTAGCTGTTGAAAGAATCTTTTATTTTTGAAGTGTAATATGTCCACTAGGATATGTCTTGGTTTTGGTGACTGTAATATTTACTCCATGGATATAGTGGACCCTTTATTCTTCATTCTTCCTTTATTGATTGAAAATGTTTTGAGATAGATCCTCAATTTTTTGGCATCCAGTTATTGGGTTCTCTCCTTCAGAGTCAACACTGCAGTCATGCTAAAGCAAGCTCACCTCTGTTTGTCCTCCATATAATTTTTTTCCCTTAAATTCCTTAACATTTCGTTTATTCTGGTCTTTTTTGCTATTTTATCATACCTGCGTCCAGGTTTTACTAATATCTGTTCTCCTTTGTGCCCCTTTCAATATAGATTTCATCTTGATGATGTATGTTTTTCCATGTATTTCCTGGGTTTTGCCATTTCCCTCTTTGTCTCCTTCTGTTACTGTCTGTGACATATCTTGGTGGAAACTTTGTAGCTCTTTTATTTTCCCTTCAGGTTAAACATCCTAAAGTATTTTTTTACTTGTGGTGACATCCATATGGCACAAAATTTGCCATTTTAACCATTTTTTAGGAATACGGTTCATTAGTATTAAGTATATTCACATTGTTGTGCAACCAATGTTCAGAAGTATATTGCAAAACTGAAGCTCCATATCCATTTAAACAATGGCCCATCCCTCCTCCCCTCAGTACCCGACAATCAGTATTATACTTTCTGTCTCTGTCAGATCTCTCTAGGTACCTCATATAAGTGGAATCATATACTATTTTTTTTTAATGTGACTTAAGTGGCTTATTTCACTTGGCATAATGTCCTCAAGGGTCATCCTTGCTAGAACATGTATCAGAGTGCCTCTTCTTTTTAAGGATGAATGATATTCCCCTGCAGGTGTACACCACATTTGCTATTCATCTGTTGGTGAACTCTTGTGTCTTTCCATCTTTGGCTCTTGTGATTTGCATTGCTATGAACATGGGTATACAAATGTCTCCTTGAGATTCTGTTTCCAATTCTTTTGAGTTATATATCTAGAAATGGAATTGCTGCATCACATGGTAATTTCATTTATTTATTTATTTTGATAAAGCACCGTATTGTTTTCCACAGTGGCTGCACCATTTCATAGTCCTACTAAAAGAACCTGGGGCTTGAATTTTTCCACATCCTTGTCAGTACTTAATTTTTGTTTATTTGGATGGTGGCTATCCTAATGTTGAAAAATGCTATCTCATTGTGGGTTTGAGTTGAGTGGGAGTTCTTTATATATTCTGGTATTAACCCATTATCAGATAGATGATCTGTAAATATTTTCTCCCATTGCATGGGTTGTCTTTTCACTTTGGAGATTGTGTTCTTTGATATACAGAGCTTTTAAGTTTTTTAAAAAAGATTTATTTATGCATACAAGAGTTGGGGTATAGGCCAGAGGCGGGGGTGAGAGGATTCACCAGAGACAGAGTGGAGAGAAGAACAGGCAGATTGACTGAAAAACACTGATGAGGGGAGCAGCAGGCAAGTCAGAAGGGGTCTGCTGTACCATGTGGGTAGCTTGCTGGCTGGGGATCGAACTCGTACTGCAGTGGCTGCAGATAGCTTCATAGGTTGCATTTTAACCCCTTGTACTACCAGGGAGACCCCAGAGGTTTTAAGTTTTTATGTAGTCCAATTAGTTTTCTTTGTTCCCTTGCCTTTGATGTCATAACCAGGATCAAATACAGTATTATGAAAGTTCCTTCTGTATTTTCTCCTACTTTTAAGTTGTGTTTTTTTTTTTTAACTTTTAAGTGCTTGATGATATTAGTAATTTTTCCATGTTCTTTAAGTGATTTATATATATATATTTATGTATGCATGTATATATATGTGTGTGTGTATATATATATAGTCAATGTTCTCATTTCCTTTTTCAGTCTTCCATTTATTTTCATGTGATCTCCTTTTATAAATCTGTCCTGATTTTTAAAATTAGGGTATCTCTGATTGAAGCAAGTTCTTCATGAGTCTACTCTCTCCATTAGGTTTGGGTGAGGAGGATTATATGCACCCGAGAGTGAATGAGTTATTTTAGATTTTAGTTTTCCTGGTGCAAAGAACGAGTGCATGGTTGTTTGCAACTGATAATTTTTCTGTCTTCTATCTATATCAGTAACAGTATTCTTCCTGCAAAATCTGTTTCCTCATTGAACCCTCTCCCTCTGCAATATTTGGTGCTAAATAGAGTCCTAGAAAACTTCAACTGAGAACTCACTGATCCCCTCCTGTTGCTCCAAATGATAGATTGTTTTTCTCCCTAGAGTGCATCATCTTGTTTGGACAACTGAGCTCTGACAGTGTGTCTGAGATCTGCACCTGCTGATGTCTTTGTGAACTCCCTCAGTGTATTTTATAGCCCTTTCTCTTTTAGCATGTTTCAGAATTTCAAGTCTATTCTAGTTTGTTGAAGGTAGATTTTTTTCCGTATCTTGAAGTTGATGTGGCTTCCTAGAGATAAAGGAGGGAGGACCTTACAATGGGAGGTCCAGGTGACTTTGTTTATTCCAGTTCCCTATTATTTTTCCTTTTGGAGAATTTTGAGAGCTTCCCAGTGTCCTAAGATCCAGCGTGGAGCACAAAGAGACCAAGAAAGACAATGACATGAATACATAGAGCAGAACTGTTATAGAATGGTTCTGATTCTGTCCCTTCCTAGCCATTTGACCTTGGGCAAGTGACTTGGCTCTTCTGTGACTTAGTTGTTTTCATTTGCAAATGGCAGTAATAGGTTTTTTTTTGTGTGTGCCAGCTCTGTGAGAGGCACTGTAAGATAGTTGCCTATATTAAGTAATTCAGTCTCACCTACCATCATCTCCATTGTACAGGTAAAGAAACTGAAGCAAATGGTTTTTAAATAAATGGGAAAGCTGGATTCAAACCTATGCCATCTAGTTCCAGACCCTGATATGTTCCAGACCCCAGTGAAATGAAATAATGTACATCAAGTCCATATGGTAAGTTAGATGTTTCTCCTCCTCCTATTTCTCCTCCTTCTCTTCCCCTATCTCTATATTCATGCTCTCCATTGATAAATTTGGGGAAAATGATGATATGACATCATTATGTATAACAAATTAAAAATGTCCATTGTCTTAGGGGTTTGAAAATACTTTTCTGAAGAAATGTTTAAGAAAAGAGCGAAGACAAAAGGCAACCTTTGGGGCCTCCCCGGTGGCACAGTGGTTGAGTGCTGGTTTGCGAAGCTGCTCGCAGCCTCCGTAGCACCGGTTCGATCCCCGGCTGCTCCCCGGCCACCGGAGGAGGGCCCCATATGGCGCGCAGACCTCTCCTGCCGCCCGCTGCTCCCCTCAGCAGTGTACTTCGGTCCTTCTGCCTGCTCTGCTCCCCGCTCTGGCTCTGGTGAATTCTCTCACCCTTCCGCGCTTCTGACTGTACCCGGTGCTTGTATAAATAAATAAAAATAAATCTTTTTTTTTTAAAAGGCGACCTTTGTATTGTAGAAAAATTAGTCTCTTTTAGTCTTTGCACTCATTTAAAAATATACCTTAATGTCTTCAGGAGCAAAAGCTAAGCTGATGAAGTTGGGAAGCAGAAGCTGAAACTCTCAGAGAAACTGTATCTTTGGTCCCTTGGAGCCAGTTTGCAAGTGAAAAGAACAAGGTGAAGAGTGGTGTTGAGCAGCCAGGTTATGCTCTAGAATAGTGAGTGGTGTTTACTTTCTTCATAATGGTCTCTACCTGTGGTTCCAAATATTAGCATGGGTCATAAAGCAGGGAACCAATGGTCAGTGCTTATGACTCTTTCTTCCCATCCTTTGTGTTTTTCTCCATGTGTTTGTTTCACTTTCATTCTGTAGATTTTTCTGAGAGGAGAAGCATGGAAAATGGACTCACTAGTCTATTTTATACAAATTTTACTTTTACACAAATTTTGAACAGTGAGAGAAGAGAGAAGGGAGATAGGGTGGTGTATAAATAGATATGTAGAGGGGGACCAACTGTTATAGGACAGGGAGAGGGGCAGCCCAAACCCCGCAAACCTGCCTATTCTAAATGGGTTCTGCCATCCGCCACATCAACACAAAACATATGAGACTTTAATGGGAAGGAACTTTAATAAAACTAGGAAACAATACAGGTAAGGCAAAGAGTCTAGTTTCTAAATGAAGCACCCAAAGTGACCCGTCCCCTCGTGGGTAAAAGTCTATCCAAATGGGATTGGCCCAGAGCAAGGCCCCAAGGCCTGCCACAAGTCTAAAGCATCTTCCAGTGGGGACCCACAGAAAAGGGTCAGAAACAACCAGACAAGCCTGGAAGGAAAAGAGCAAAATCAACATCAAGATAAAAGCTGCCATTGTCACCTCTCCACGGGTCTCACCCACATCTGTGTCACCCCGTCCATGACCAAAAAACAAGCGCAGTTTCTTCACGTGTCTCTAGGCTCCACGCGCCTCCTCCAGGTCTCCTGGCTCCATCCTGCTTCCTTCCTCAGTCTCTTCTCCTGCTTCTCCTCTTCCTGCTCAGCTCCACCCTCCCTTGGGTGGGGCAGGGAACTTCCCCCTTTCCTGGGGACCACCCTGTTACACAACCAGTCTCTGAATCCTAATTTCACTTTTCCTGTTGGAGAATCTGATTGGTTTGGCTTTAGTAGAGAGAGTGATTGGCATCTCTTGGCCGCTAACTCCCATGGCAGGTCCCAGTAGGATCCTGATGTGAATGCGCATTCTGCAACACAGACTCTCTGTGAAGGGGCAACCAGCATCCATAGTCCGGTCTGGAGTTTGCATGTGAGTCCCTAAGCCTGCTGGTCAGGATTCATAGTGTGAGGCTTTATTAGCTGCCAATCATTTTGTTCTGTTTGCCTTGGCGATTTGTTCCTCTTGTGGATTCCTGTACTCTCTTGAAAACAGGGAATCACCTGGTATGTCCACTTCATTTCATCTGTGCCAGTTCATTTCTCCTTCTCTGGACCTGCCTTGACTGCACAGCACCCTGTGCTAGATTTTATCCAGAGTCACTCAAAAGTCCTGTTCTGGAAGCAAAATAGAACTACAATCCTCCCTGTCACTTTCGCCCACCTCTCTCCAAATGACCCCAATCTAATTTAAAGAGGAAAACGAACATTCTCTGGGGACATATCATCCCTAAAAAGTTCTCCAAGGAAAGTTCAAAGATGGGCTGTTGTTTAGAGATCAATGAAAAGGAGATGGAATTTAAATATTAAGAGGAAAGCTCTTGCCTTCAGGTAAAGCTGACATTTGCATAATAATGAGAATGACTAACCAGATGGAATTGAGAATCTGACTGGAATCTCAAATCCTGGTGAGGGAAGATTCATTTACTTGAAATGGCAATGGGAAATATGCTAATCAGGGGCTTGCTGCTGTCCATCACGTTCAACTGATTCTGAGACAAAGAAATAGAAAGAGTTCACAAATAGGAGGTGATACAACTTGACATTAAACTTAATTTGGTTTGTTTTCCCATCAGCCCCTGACAGATGTGCAATTGTGGAAGTCTTTGAAGGGAGTGGGTAGAACCATTCCCTTCTGTCAGAACTATCTGACATTGTCATCACCAGTGCTGTCATTGTCATTATTGTTATTGTGTGAGAAACAACAGGAGGGAGGGAACGGAAACCTGGAGTATGACCTGAATCATTACTGAGAAATAATGAGAAAATCTAAAAAGAAAAGTAAAAGAAGAAGAAAATCAGGAGTATAGATAAACATTTTTGCGTCTTCACTGTTAGGATGGGGAAGCATTAGTATTTGGGTGATGGAATCAATAATTTAGAAGACATCTTAGAAATTGAGTTCCCTGAGGGAGAAAATGTTATCTTAGTCTGGGCCTGAATTCTTTTATTTTGAGACAATAGGAGCTACTCTGCGGGAAGGTGGAAGGGAGTTAGGAAAATTATGGCCCCTGAGATCCCCTGCCCCTTGTGTTAAGTGCTGTATCCTTCCTTTGGAGGGAAGGCAGAATTTGTGACTTGTGTCTCATAGGATCACTCCCATGAGTATATTACATTGTATGCAAAGGTGAAATATTTTGCAGAGGTAATTAAGACCCCTCATCAGTTGATCATAGGGGAGGTTATGGTGAACCCTTCAAAAGAGGCTTCTTTTTTGAAGACAGAGACTCCAAGCAACTGAGACACTCTCTTTCCATTGCTGATTTGAAGAAGAAAGTTGCCATAAAACCACAAGGAAATTACTTATGTCAATAACCCAAATGGACGTGGAAGCGGATTCTTCCCTGGTTGAGAATCTAGGTGAAATCATAGCCCTGGTCAACATCTTGGTTTCAGCCTTGTGAGTCCTTGATCAGACAACTTAGCTAACCTGTGGTTAGAATCCTGGCCTTATAAAAACTATGAGGTCATAAAATGGGTGTTGTTTAAAGCCACTGAGTTTGTGATAATTTGTTACATTTTAGTAGAAAATCAATACAGAACTTTATTTTTAAATAATTGCAACAATGCTGTGTGCATTAGCCTTTCTGGTGGGAGGGCAGGGGAATAGGGATCAATAACACTGGTATTGCACATTTGTGTAGTCAGTTATTTGCTAAGCTAAGCTCTTACCTAGTTTGAGGATTTTCTTTAGGGCTGGATGGATAACGTAACCTAGTCTTTAATCCCAAAATTTTTACCTCTTCAGTCAACCTTCTTTAATCTTTTCTTTTCTTTCTTTCTTTTTTTAATGTTGAACTCTTTTTTAAAAAAAAAGATTTATTTTATAATTTTTTGTACAAGAGCTGGGGTACAGGCCATAGCGGGGGTACAGGCCAGAGCATGGGAGGGTGAGAGGATTCACCAGAGACAGAGTAGGGAACAGAACAGGCAGACTGATGAAATACACTGCTGAGGGGAGCGGTGGGTGAGACAGGCGAAGTCTGCCGCTCCATGCGGGACCCTCACTGGCCGGCCGGGAATTGAACCCATGCTGCAGAGGCTCCGGACAGCTTCACAGTGCTGTGCTAGACCCTCTGTGCCACCTAGAGGCCCCAGGCTTCTTTATCTTTTCAAAGGAACAACCGAAACAATGTGATTCATGCAAGACTACAGTTGTAAGGCAATGACTAAGCTTATGCTAGGATTGCACCCATCTCTTTATTCTTATGCATACTGTCTTTCATAACTCAATTTCATCCTGCTCAATTAAAAACATCATTTATTGAGCATTTACTCTAGGAGAGGCTTGTTATTGGCCTGGGGATGTTATTAATGATGACAGAGTTGAGGGCAGAATAAAAGTCAAGGATATAAAATCCTCTAGAAACTTCAAATTTGTGTGATAAATAGCCATTAGCTCTAGTAGCTATTACAGAGAATAGATTGTCAAGTGTCACAATAGGCAGCAAAGGGGTATAGTTCTGCTATTTTCTACTTGTGTGACCTTAAAAAATTACCTACCTGAGATTCATATCTACCTGAAATTCATCTGAAACATTATTATTAACAATAATAATGATAACGACTTTGACAATGTGGTTTTGAGAATCAAATGAGCAAACATATATACAAATAACAGGCATATAGTAAATTCTCAATTTATGTTACTGCTATAATATTCTTTATGAGGGAGATAAATAAGCAAAGTCTTCCTATGGGAAACACCATTCAATGATGCCTAAGACTACTGCTAAAAGTATTTGGTGGGGAGTTTATGGAAAGATTCAAGTAGGAGTGTCAATGATCGAAGGCCCAGAGGGTGGAGGGTAAGAGATGAGCTGGGTGACTAGTAACTTCCTGAAGCTTCCACATTGTCCTTGCCCTCGGAAGAACACAATAGTTTATATATTCTAGAATGACATAGACTATGACCTCTAAGTCCTGATTAAGTTTATTTTTTCTTTGATTGTAACTGGGATTTCAACCTGACACTCCTGAGAACAAAGGAAGTTTGTGGCTGCTTGAGACTTTTCAGAATGGCACAGTCCTAGCTTTGGGCAAACCAAAGACTAGGTAGGCTCCAGGTGCCCTAATCCTTGGTCAAGGTGCAGCGTCATTGGATCCATTTGTGATTAATTTCTGTTAAAATAATCTGAAAGCCAGCAGTGGGAGACTACAGGGGCTACACCAGTGGAGAGAAATGAAACACTACTGAAAAATTAACAAAGATGTAAGAAAATTAATTAAAATAATCTGAAAACCAATTATGGCAGAATAACTTTTTTTCTTTTCCTCCTCTAGTCCATCTTAAGTGATACTAAAGAAGGGGACAGTGTTTTTTCTGAGGAAGAGTTCATAGGTGTTCCACTGTAAGTTTTAAACTTTCTCTTAGAAGGGACAGTAGGCACTTCCTTCTGACCTATAATGGTGAGAGCGAGACCCTGAGGGAAGGTGAGGGCTGGGGGATATAAATGAATACAGGAAGGAGGAGGGAGATTAGAGAGAGGAAGACATTGTGGGTGCTCGTATGAGGTGACCTATGTGTGGCATGGAGGGCAAATTGAAGGTAAAGCTGAGCAATGCTTTCCCTGTCTTGTCAATCTTGGGATTGTTTAAGACAACTTACTCCCCAGTTGGTTCTACCCCTCCTGCATTGTTGACAAAGCTCTGGGGTTAATTTGGGGGGGTGGATGTCGAACTTGCATGAGACTGTTGCATGTGGCGCACTTGCTGACTCCTCATAAACATAAGGAGAATCTAGGGTGAAAGTGAAATATGGCAGCTCCCTATTTCCTTGAATGAATTGTGCGCGAGTCACAGTGCTGACGGGCACTGGTGAACTTGCAAATTCATCAGAGTCCAAGACTTTAGGGTCTGATTGGGGCTCTCTGTGGCCGTTATTGTTTATGGTTTTGCTCTTTGAACGTCGCTTCAGTTTAGGGTTACGAAACTTGTTATTTGGAAACAGTACACACAGGACTCAGAATACTGAGGTTTGACTGTCACTGATAAGCATAGGATGCTTATTGTTCTACAGGGCATCCCTTAGCACAGTCGAGCTGACATGACCTTCAGAATTAAAAATTAACCTTCAAACTGTATCTTGCCATACATTTGGAAGAATATAGTATTGTTCCTTGGTCGTGGCAGAAAATAGATCCTGTAGAAGAGCAGGAATCTCAAACACAGGCTGTCCTACTGCAAACCTTTTGAGATGGGTGCATCCTCGTGCTGCTTGGAGGTTGGGCTGGTGGTTGTATTTGTATATATGTATCTGTGTCTCAATTGTACTGGAGGAGCAGGAGGGAAAGCATGGCCCAGTGACTTGTTAGTTGCCTGAACTGCCTTTTCCCCTTTGTGGTATAATTCTGCTTGTTGTTTATAACGAAACTGTGACTTCAAAACTAACAAAGTCATTCTGACCGACTGGAGACTACTGGAGTACTCTTCCCTGAGCAAGCAAACTGGCACTGAGCTGTTTGTCATCAGTGTTGTCATTGTCTTCCTGTGGTTATGATCATTATTAATAATGATGATCATGATCATTAGGCCTAGGAAGAAAATAATGATAAAATGGCTCTAATTAGGCATTATAAGCACATCATGTTCTTATCATTATGTTGTCTAGTATTAATTATAATCACTATAATCACTATAACAATATGAACTTCTGTTTGAGTTTGTCTTCTATCTGATCAAAGCATTGAAAGGCACGATCTTGTTAGCTCTCATGACATTCTGGCAAAGGGAGTGCAGGTTCAAATGATGGTCCTGTGTGTTGGAGTAAGAATGGATTGAAGGGGATGTAATAACTCCAGAAACCAAAATCAAAGTGCAGCAAAACAAACAGTGGCTAGAAACATTGTAAGGTGGCATATGTCATACAAAGTCTAAAATGAAATAGATTTCAGGAAGTTCAGTTCGAATTGTTTGTTGCTTTTCTCCAGCTGTGTGACCTTGAGAAATTTGCTTTACCTCTCAGAGCACAGTGACTAAAAGTGCTTTATTGTCTCTTGCAATTAGAGGCAGCACCCCAACTCATCTGTTTCACCCCCCCCCACATTAATTTAATGAAATAATACAATGCAGCCTCTTGGAAGAAACCAAGGGGATATTTACTCTGGCATCTGGCACAGAGCTTGGCACATGGTTGGTTTGTGTTTAACGAATGTTGGTTAAATGAGTAAAAGATTTTGAAAAACATTGCTTTATAGAATTTATAGCTAGAAAAGATTTTAAGTAGGTTTATTAATTTCTAGTATACGAATAAGCTTCTGAGATACTAAAGACAGAGCTAGTCTGCCCCTTGCCATAGTCAATTGTTATCATTTTTCCTTCATTTCCATCAACTCTTCCATCAGGGACCTATGGATGCAACTCATTGGATTGTGGCTGTTAAAAAAATGTAGACACATGTGAAGATGACCCATCAATGCCATTACCATTGTCAGCCCAATGGATCATGCCCCAGCTCATCCTCCTACCTCCTATCCCCTGTGAATGCATCTATCCATCCAGGGAGATGCTGTCCCCTTCAAGGCTGCCTCTGAGCTCTCTTTAACTTAACTCTTCCCCATACTAACATCCTCCTCTGTGACTTGGACCTAAGTTGGGAAGATGTCCTGTTTGGGTACCTCTGAAGTTGTTTAAAAATGGCCCAGTTCATTCTCTTAGATGTTGCAGCATCTCCCTGTCTTGTACAATTTTACTCTAATTTGCCTCCAGGAAAAGACATCCTGACAAAATAAACTCAGTTTTGTGTCAATTATTGGGAATCCTCATTAGTAAAGAACAAATTAATGAACACTTGGTTACCTTTTAAAAGTCCTAATCATGAAGATTTAGCTATCTGGCTTCTAATGCCCCATCTTCATTTACTGTTACCAAGACTAGAAACTTACTACTGTTGTCACGTACAAAGGACACTTGCAGCCCTGGCTCTAAATCCTGCCCTGCAATTTTCTGTGCTCTTGTGCCCCTTTCAACAGTGCTCCCAGAGACCAGGTGTTTGAGATGAAAGGACCCCAGCTTCTCTTAGAGGAGAAGCACCAAGAACAACTGATCACCATGCGAGATTGTGGCATAAGAGAGAACTCAAAACTCTGTTACCTTAGGCCACAGAGTTTTGGGCTTTTTACAGTAGCGCGTGTGTTACTTCACAAGTACGAACACTGACAAGGAAATTATTGAAATGTGGGATCAACATCCCACATGATAAGGTGAGAATTCAAGGAGACGTTCCTAATATTTCGACTGTCTCACTTTAGTCCTGTTACTCTTTCATAATAATGCCAAACATCTGTCTAGAAGTTAGCAGCTTGCACTGACTTCTGTATATGATTCCTACAGATGAAAAGTGGGGGAGAAAGATGTTCCAGGAGGGCCAGACTCGGGCAGAGTACACCCTTCACTAACTTTTCCACGGTATCTCCACACAGCCCATGTGCTTGCTCCTCGGTCCATCACCATCGATCAGGTCCCTGATCTCTGCCCGTGGGCCTGGCAGAGGAATGGCTGCACGGACCTGTGGAGCCCAAGTGTGCGGAGGCCATAATTTCAGGCTAACGAACGCTCCGCAGGCTCCTTTGCTGCTTGCCAGCTCTCGGCTTTGTGTGCTGGAAACATCTTGAACAAAGTGTCATGAAGAGCATCTTGGCTGTGTCCTGCTGACTGAGGACATGGGGCTGCCGAGTTTGCCATCTGCCTGCAGCCTCTCTGAGGTAATTATATCAGAGTCTCTGAAGTGCTGGAACAAGGGGGTTGTCAAATACACTTTCTCTCCTCTAGGAAGGTAATTTTCATTTTCTCAGTTCATTTGGAGCTGCATATCTTATTGTCTCCAGGTGTGAGAGAGGCGCTGGGAGAGTGAAAAGGAAAGGGGGAGCCCTGTGGGGGGTCAGCAGGTAGGGGGTAGGGCGAGGGTAGGAGGTAAGGCAGGAAGAACAGTGAGGGAGGGGCTCAACTGTCACTGAGCCCAAGGAGAGGTGCACATGCTAATTTTGGCAACTTTTAATTAAATGATAAGCTGAAAAAAATTGCATTATTATTACTACCCAGCTTCCTGACTGTAGTGGCTTAATGTCTTCTTTATTAGTGTAATAGTCTGAAAGCATTTTGTTTTTTTCTCTGATTGCTAATTTGCACACAGAAAAGGAAATGTGTCTGGTAGCTCTTGGAAGGAAAATATTTTCGAAATTTGCTGACACAGAGCTTTTGTACACTTTCTCCCTCAGTCCCTCCTCCTATTGTGTTTTGTTTAGGGTGGGAAGAAATGCGGGATCAGTTCTAAAATGAAAGATGGCTGAGATACAATGGACTAGAGAAATGCAAGGCATAGCCTTAGTTTTTAAATGAGGGACTCCTCTGTGTCATCTTTCTGAACTCACCTTTCTGAACTCATCTGGATTTTCTGGGTTCCTCTAATTCTGGAGAAGGAAGGGCAGTGGTGCTCTCTTTTGTATGGAATTTTTATAATAGGCTAGTGACTGAGACTACAAAGTCATTAGGGGACTGGGAAGCTGTCTAGGAGGTCTCGGGTCAGACAACAAGAGACTGGTAGACATTAAAAAGTGCTTTCAATACCCAATGAATAGGAGACAATATGTGCACCTCATACATCTGACAAAAGGTTGATAGCTAAGATCTATGAAGAACTTAGCCAACTCAACAACAAGAAAACAAATAGCCCATTGAAAAATGGGCAGGAGAGCTAAATCCACACTTGTCCAAAGAAGTATATGCTGGTGGCCAATAGGCATGTGAAAAAAAAATGCTCATCATCATTTATAATCAGGAAAATGCAAATCAAAGCCATAATGAGTTACCACCTCATACCCATGAGAATGGCCCATATCAAAAAGAACAGAAACAAGTGTTGGCAAGGATGTGGTGAAACAGGCACCTGCAGTCTGCTGTTACTGAGAATGCAGATTTGTCCAGCCCCTATGGAAACTAGTATGGAAGTTTCTTAAGATATTGAAAAGAAGTGTGCCATATGATCTAGGAATTCTATTCCTAGGTATCTACCTGAAAAAAAAAAAAACATGAATTCAAAGGTTTTTGTACTGTTCTATGTTCACTGCAGCACTATTTTACAATAGCCAAATTATGGAAAGTACCAACATGCACTATGACAGATGAGTGGTTAAGAAGGTGTGGCACATATGCACAATGGAATACATTTCAGCTATAAAAAAGATGAAATGTTTTGCCATTTGTGACAACATGTATGGAGCTAGAGGGGATTGTGAAATGTTAGAAGACAAATACTGGATGATTTCACTTATATTGGGATATAATGACACAAAACAAAGGGTCAGACAAAACTAAGTGAAAACTAACCCTAGATATCTGATTTTTAGAATTGAAGCTAACAAAGGGTTTGGGTGGGAGTGGGGGAAGCAGGGGAGGGGGCAGATGGACTATCGTGGAAGATTATGGGTACTTTGGTGGTGGGTGTGGTACGGTAACAAACATACTTCCGAAGAGGTGTGAACCTATATCCCTGAATCACACATTCTGTTGTACGCCAACATTACAGCAATGGAAGTTAATATAATAAAACAGAAGTGTGCTTGAAACATTTCCATTGTTCTTACAGCAAGCATACACATTTGGTTTTATTTGTACCCTTTTATAATTAGAGACATTAATTGAATTTTATAAAGAAAAATGATACATCCAAGGTGACCCTTGAACTATGACCCTATACCAATGAACTATCTCCATTATCTTGTAACTAAGGGAGTTCCTGGGATGAGACTTTTAGCTTCAAAATGAAGATAGTCTGGGATAAAATGGGACAAGTTGTTTGTTCTGAGTTCATTTTTAGGTCTTCATATCTAAGGGTAGTGTTTTTTCTTGTTCTTCACAGCTGACCCTCATGTGCACTGTTTTAATTGCTGATTTGATGACTTTACTTCACCTTTTTTAATTGTGCACCTGGATACTAACTACCCTACTAATGAAGTAATATGGTGGATTTAGAGCTCTACAATAGAATGAGTGCTCCAAATGTTAACAATACCGCTCTGTACCTTTTGAAAAATTGTCTCTGAGAGATTTCCAACTCAGCCTATTGCTCAAAATGTGTTTAGAAATTCCAAAATTTGTGATTTGTCATTAGACCCAATTTTTAGGGCCATTCAAGAGAGAGATTCTCATTGCTTTGCAGTTATATTTTATGACAAAATTACCTTTTAGTAATGCACTTCCTGTTTTACTTCTCTTGTTCTTCTAGTTTTGGCCATAAGATATTTTCTTGCCTACCTCTTATTTTATTATATCCTTTTAGCAACTTATTTCAGTGATCACTTACCTATCACAGTAGACAACATGGTTGATTTTAAGTGCAGATGGTGTTTAATGATCACCAAAAAGACTTAAAGAGTAACTATAAGAAGTAATCTGTTGAATACTGATGACACTATGTATCAGTAAAGTGTAACATTTGACAGAACAGTATTCAAATATAATTAAATTGGCAGTGATACAGAATTTGGTTAATAGAAATTCAGCATTGCTATAATACTTCAAATGAAACTTGAAGAAAGTTTTGGAAAAGATGCTTAGCAGGATGTACTAGGGTAGAATCATAATCGCAGGATGTACATTCTCGCAGTAGATATGTCATTGATTATTAAAAAATAAGTCAGCAGGGAACATCATTATCTCCTTAAATTTTGTAGAAATATTATAAAAACCTATACAAGAAAACTAAAAAACGTAAGGAATATAAAAGAGTTCTTTCTCCTCCCAACCAGGACTTTTTATCTTCTATCATTTTTTATTCTTGCATTTCTATGGAGTGCAAGGTTCAACTATGGGTTGAAACAGTTAATTTTTTTTAGGTCAGAAATGGTTGAGTAGCAGTGATTTTATATGGTTCAACCTCACTGGACATTGGACTATTTCCATTTTATTGAGAGAGAAATACCACTTTTAACTGAAACAGTGAGCTATTGGAGAAATAGGGCAGAGTACCATCTGCCTTTTCTGATCCCAAATACAGTGCTCCTTGTTTTTTTTTTTATCTTTGTAGCTTTGGCTTCAGTGTCTGTCATAGAGCAAAGACTTGATAAACTTTAAAAGCAAAAACTTGTGGTGGTTTTCGAAAATGACTACTAATTTGTTGACATTCTTTTCATCAAGAGGTGGAGTCTATGTCCTCATCCCTTGATTTTAAGTAGCCTTGAGATTGTTTTTGACCAATAGAATATGGTTAAAGTGTTATGTGAACTCCAAGGTTAAGTCATAAAAGGACATGAAATTTTTGACTAGGTCCCTTGGAATGCTCATTGTTGTAACTCCCCGCCTGTGTAACCCAGTCACCATGCTGTGAGAAACCCAGGACTCATGGAGAGGCACGTGTTTGTGCTTCCACATGGAGGTGCACATGTGGAGCCAGATACTGATTCATTCTAGGCCAGGGCCAGCTATCTGAGTTTCAAGTCTCTGTATGTGTCAGCCTCCTACCAGCTGAGGCTTCCCAACTGAGACTTTGACACGTTGCAGCAGAGAGAGAAGAGCACCGCTATGTTCTGTTTGGAAATTTGACTAACAGCATCCATAGGCATAATACAGTGTCTTTTGGTCCAGTGTTTTTTTTTTCTCCTCCCTCGCCCCTCCAGTAGTAGATAACTGGAATGATGTGGAAAGAATCATCCTTTCCCCTCAGTAGAATTTGTACTTCATTTCTAGGAAGTAGGGGTTTATTCTTAGTTACAAAACTGAGGTGGTATTCCAAGTTTTCTGAGTTCTATGTTCTCCCTGTCTGTTAAGGTCATGTTTGCCATTGTCTATACAGAACATACACCATGAGGGCAGAGGTGACACTGCCCCTAATTGGCTTAATGAAAGATGCAAAGAGAGTTTTTGTCTACTGTGTAAATCTCAACCTGGAGATACTCAGATTTGTCAAAAATATCCCTTGTCAAAGGATTCCTTACTTGTGCATATATTTTAATATAAAGATAATTTAAAATAGTTTTAAAAGAGCAGTACATATTCATTATAGCATGAACTGAAAATACAAACAAGTCAAAAGCAGAAAACAGACATCTATAGTCCCATCCAAAGATAAGTACTCTCAAATGTCCATTGTTGGGCATAAATCACGATTCATTTGTATTTAACACAACACAGTTATTATAATAAGATTAATAAGCATACTATATATATTTTAACATATGGATCATATCCATTTTGTTTTATAATTTTTTTAACCAAAATATTGTTGACGTTGTTCCTTGCCTATACATAAAGCTATAATTTATTTGTAGATTGCTCATGATTCATTGCATGATTGCACTGTAATTTATTGCATTTCCTATTGATGGATGTTTATATTCTCCATACTTTTATTTAACAAAACATGCTGTGTATCAGCTTCTAAAGATAGTACATAAATGATTCAGGCTGTTGGTGATGCTGTTTCTTGCCTTTTGCACATCCCTGTCACATGTCTAAGAAAAAAATATTTTCCTTTATGCCCTATGTCTATCCTTTCACCTCCAACACATGTAATGCACGTGCGTGCACACACACATACACATGGAGCTAAGGGTGGGGGTGGGGGAGAACATGCACAGACTCTCAGGGAATTTCCATAGAAGTCAGCATGAGATTTTGAGATTAGATCATTTCAAATGGGGTAGTCATTTCTTTTCTCAGGCAAACATCTTCCCCTCAAAGAAATAAAGATGCTGTGGGAAATAAGT